CCTTTTAGAGTATTGAAGTTGTTACTTGATGAATACCGTCCATGTTGTGTTCCTTTTAGAGTATTGTAGTTGTTACTTGATGAATAACGTCCGTATCGAGTTCCTTGTAGAGTATTGAAGTTTTTACTTGATGAATAACGTCCGTTTTTAATTTCTGTTTGAGTATTGAAGTTGTTGATGAATAACGTCTGTGTTGAGTTCCTTGTAGAGTACGTCGATTGTATGAACAATTGATTCTGGTATACTTCACATGATCTGATATTTTATTGATATAAAGATCATTTCTCATATTTTTCGATGATGTGATTGGTTGTGTAGATTCCGTTATTTTCTTTCAATTCATATTTTTTATGAACTTGCATTCAATGTTATTATTTTTCTTTGGAAAACTAGTCATAATTAAGTACAATTTTTCAATGAATTTCTTTTTCCACAGTTTTACTTTTCTCTAGATCAACAAGTGTGATATTCAATACTTACATTTCGTGTCTGAATGCTGAGATTAAATCAACTTCTTTTACGTAAATGTTTCATTCCATAATACACTGGTGATCAGACAGTGACAGTTAGTGGTTTCGTCAGAGCTCTGAAGTTTGATTCTATATGAAAGTTATAGGTACCTTTGTTTTTCTGTTATTAAGATGTTTTCGTATGTTTTGAGATTCTGTTTATTGATTGTTTAATTAGGATACAATTTGATTTATTTAGAAAATATTTTAATCTCAGTTACTGCACGATGAGCTTTCTACGATGTGTTCTCCGCGTGGAATCGAACCCCGGATTTTAGCTTTATAAGCCCCAAGGTCACCGGTGACTTTAAGTCTATTTAAGATTAAAAAGAATTCTGAAAATCTTTCCACGTATTTTTTTCACTTTCATTTTTTGTCTTGAAAACCTGCAAAAACACTGAAGGAAATTTTATTTTTATCTGAATTATTTACTCTATTGTTTAACTTATTGTGAAATGCAAGTTTTTTCAAAGCAACAGAAAAGAAATAACTTTGTAAGTTCTCTTATCATCGTTCCTACTTGGTGTTCATTACAGATACATCAGTTAAACCGGATTTTACAAACTCTCAGAAAGTGTACAATTAAGACATGTGCACCCAAGTCAAAATAACTTTGATTTTTATTTTCTGAAGTCATTTGCTTATGCAGCATCTTAACGCGGAATGTGAACGATGAGTAAAATAATATCGGTGCCAAATAAAAACGAAAAACATTCTATCATAAGCCCTTATTACATATTGTTTCATAAGGGCGTGTTATATTACAGTCCTTTCTACAAGCAACAAGTTAGGAAATAATCCGATATATATAGACATTAAAGCTTCATTGTTTTTTATTTTGTCCATTATCTCCACAGCGTTAAAAATAAAGATTACAAACCGTGTAGATGCTGTAAGAGTTGAGATCCTTTACTCTGGCCAATTTACTTTAACTGTTTAAAGATTACAAACCGTGTAGATGCTGTAAGAGTTGAGATCCTTTACTCTGGCCAATTTACATCAACTGTTTAAAGATTACAAACTGTGTAGACGCTGTAAGAGTTGAAATCCTTTACTCTGGCCAATTTATATCAACTGTTTAGTAGTTCCAACATTGGTTTAAGCGTGGCCTAGTGGTTAGCATACCCATAATGTGCATCCGATGGTTCATTTCGAAATTTGGGACTGTGAATACACCATAAATGTGACGGTCAAATACAGTCAATTATCCCAAGATTTGACGATGGGTTCTCTGTCATAACTGCTTTCCTTCTAGTTTATCAGTTCAAAATTTGGGACAGCTTGTCCTTCTGTAGCTTGCGCAGCGTTCTAAGTTTATTTACTTTACATAAAAACGCTATTTTAAATTAGTAATTTAATAATTTGTAGTCACTATACGTTTTCAATTTTAACTAATTTAATTTGATTTGTAAATAACTGCCTAAAACTCCTCATTTAATGTTTCAATAAGTAGCTGTTACAGAGTTTACACGATTTTTGCTATTTTAAATGTAAGAAAAGTTATAATAGCTATCTCACCTACAAAGTCCTGTCTATCCAAATTTTTTAGTCATATATTTATATCTTCTTAGGAAAATTGTTTTAAAATAAACTTATTTCTTTTTATATAAACCTGTTAAATTTTATATAGGCCCATTAACTCTCTCTGTCTAGCTGTATATACCTGTTGTTTTATATAGGTCCATTAACTCTCTCTGTCTAGCTGTATATACCTGTTGTTTTATATAGGTCCATTAACTCTCTCTCTATCTAGCTGTATATATACATGTTGGTTTTATATAGGTCCATTAACTCTCCCTGTCTAATTGTATATATACCTGTAGGTTTTATATAGGTCCATTAACTCTCTCTCTCTATCTAGCTGTATATATACCCGTTGGTTTTATATAGATCCATTAACTCTCTCTGTCTAGCTGTATACACCTGTTGGTTTTATATAGGTCCATTAACTCTATCTATCTAGCTGTATATACCTGTTGGTTTTATATAGATCCATTAACTCTCTCTGTCTAGCTGTATATACCAGTTGGTTGAACATAGGTCCATTAACTCTCTCTGTCTAGCTGTATATACCTGTTGATTTTATATAGGTCCATTAACTCTCCATGTCTAACTGTAATACCTGTTGGTTTTATATATGTCCATTAACTCTCTCTGTCTAGCTGTATATACCTGTTGGTTTTATATAGGTCTATTAACTTTCTCT